GAGGAATGATGCCGACAGCCTGTTCTGGGGGAGAAAAAGACCCAGAGAGTGAAAGACCCAGGCTCTCAGGGGGATGTCTGTCTGTGTCGCTCAGGATAGGCTGGACCTTTGTTGGGAGCTTTTCAACAGGCATTACCCCACTTTTTAACCAATGGCAAGTCAGTATTTGTGCAGAATGGCATTGTGTTGTTGTGTCCAGAAGTTCCTGTCTCAGTGTCCTGTCAGTAGGTGTTAAAGAGTGTGAAGTCTGTAGGAGTGCAGGTGGGCGTGTCCAAGGCGCTAGATTACATTCCTAAGGGGGGGACTGTAACAAACGCTGTGTCCACGAGGTAGAGGAAGGACCCAGTGCGTTGTTCTGAGAGTCTCAGGAGATCGGGAAAAAGGGTGAAAGGCAGAGGAGATCGATGGCTACTTGTCGAGATCACTGGGCTGAAGTTGGAGTTGAGGGACAAAGGTAGAATATCGAAGACCAGAGTTTCCGTCAGAGGGAATTGAAGGCCCAATATCCAAGTCTCTGGGCTGAAGTTAGAGTCAAGGGATGAAGGTCAAATATCCAAGACCAGAGTTTCGATCAGAAAGAGAATATCTCAGAAGAAACCGGCGAGGTAGGAGCTCCAAGGGTAGAGGCTAATACCGAGCGCAGACCTGAGGGTGATAGATACTTTATTGATCCCGTGAGGGAAATTGCAGTGCAACAGCAGCTTAACACAGACAACACAGCCACAGTGTAACGAATGATACAATAATAATAATAATAATACAATACATACAATACAATCAGTACAGTGAGGGGTGCACTAAAAGAGTTACTCACAGTCCGGACACACAAAGAACAAACTAGAACAGAACAGAACAGTACGCAGAAACATCGTATCACACATCTGAATATAAATATAGATGTAAATATAAATATAGATATATTGCACGGGTCCCTGGCATATATTGCACAAAAAATGGTTGTAAACGGGAAAAAAAAAAGAACAGATGTATCAGTTTACTGCTCAGTCCAGAAACAGGTCACTGTCGATGTTGCCTCTGCCCAGACGCAAGGTGGATGCGTTGTACAGTCTTATAGCAGAAGGCAATAATGACCTCCTGTAGCGCTCCCTGTCGCACCGTGGATGAATCAGTCTATTGCTGAACATGCTCTTCATTCCTGCAAGCCTGTCATAGAGGAGATGGGAGACGTTGTCCATGATGGCCTCTAGTTTGGACACCATTCTCCTCTCAGCCACTACCTCCAGAGGGTCCAGGCCAGACCCAATTACAGAGCTTGCTGGTTGATTCACTGGACATGCGAGGGTCGAGTAAGAGTTCCATTCACATGCTAACATGTGTGGACATGGCATCTAAATATGCCTGGGCTGCATCATTGAAGGCCAGGTCCAGAGAAATGGTGACCAGAGCTTTCCGAAATATATTCCAAGAGGCCTGTTCACCTAGAAAACTGTTCACCTACGGACAGGAGAGGGGAAAAAATTCTCAACAGGGCCTCCCAGCATTTTCTCAAATGTAAAACAGCTGAACGTTTTGTGATGGCCAGTGCTGTGAGGTCTAGCATCGTAGAGAGGTTCAATGAAATTATTACAGTAAAAATGTGGAGGAACTTTACACATAAAACCCATTCTGGTGCATAGATGCACTGGCTGAACTTGTTTAGCTCTTAGAATCTGGTTTTGCTACCAGAACTGTCAAACTGAACTGGCTTCAGTCACTCCTGACAACTTCTTTAAGGTCTGGAGACTCCAAGCACCCTGAGAGAAAACCCTAAAAGATTACATCTAAGAAGGGTGTCCAAAACAAAGAGGAGGTGTGAAAGGAATATGAGCAGAGCTTTATAGATGAGATTTTCATTGTTAAATAGAGGATCCCTGTCCTGAGATCTTATTACAAACTGCCAGACTATGCAGGTGATATTAAAGGCTCCTTTTATGCAGAAGAGCTGACTGAACGTTGACTTAATCGGTACAAACAAACATACAAAACATTTTGGAAGCCAGGGAGCACATTAAAAACATCTTTTAGTGTGCCAAAAGTGTCAAAGCAAGTATCGAAATCACTAGATATACGTACGGCTGTTAATGAATCCAGCTGTTACAGGAAGCCGAATGGGGATTGAATAAACGGGAATGAGCCACAAGAGGGCGACGTTGAGACACTCCCAAAAATCGACATCATCACGGGGAAATGAATAATAATAATAATAATAATAATAATAATTGCTTACACTCATATAGCGCTTTTCTGGACACTCCACTCAAAGCGCTTTACAGGTAATGGACACTCCCCTCCACCACCACCAAGGGACTGAAGGGGATGAAGGGACTGGCAGCGTCTGTGAGCGCTGTCTCGCTGTATAAAGGCATTTCAGAGCTGGCAGGGGATCTGTGCTCAGGCCCATGTCTCATTGATAGCAGCGTGAAGCTAGCGGCGTTTAGCAACATGAAAGAGCCGGAAGTGTTTGTAAACGGTTGAAAGTTAATCAAAGGCCACGTCCTGAAGCCAGAACAGGATCACGTATAGGAGCAACACGCAAGTCGGAGCTGCTGAGTTATTTCAGAGATGACTTGTCATTTCTTGAAAACTATTCGGACTTTGTAAAGGCT